GTTATGTGGCGACGGGGGAAACGATGATGGACGTCGAATAGACGAGCGTCGTTGGATAAGTCGGTCAATGTTCTCACGATACGAACACGTGGACGGTTCGGATCGGTTGATTCGGGAAAAGAAGGATAGATAATGGATCGATTAGTCGATTGCTCGTGTATATATTTAACGGAGGGAGGGGATGGGAGGAATGCCGATCTTCAATTACGGTGGAACCACGCTGATCCGGCTGAACGATCGTTAAATAAGAAACTTTCTATCGATAGCTCCTCCTTTTAAACGCGCTCATTCGCTTCGACAAATTTGTGAGTTTATACAAACGGATAAGTATTTTTTTTTTTTTTTTTTTCTTAATGTTTACCAATCATTTCCTTTTCACATAAACACGGAATATCTGGAATAAGCGATCTAACTATCGTTTTTAAATATCGAGATACTACGTATATAAAAAAAAATTAGTTATTTATAGGCGAAAGAATGTTTTTGACGTCATCCGACTTGCCGATACCTAGAACTTAATTAACCGATAATCTCCTGTTTCTAATAAATCGCTCATAATATCAAATGCAAATTGTTGTTATTTGCGTTTTATTTGCGCAAGAAATTTTATCGAAATCGATCTTTCGAATTTTCTAATTATCGCGAGTTTGCAAAATAAATCTTACGAAATTGAACACCCCCTGTTACCATCCTCGAGGGGGATAAAAATAATTCGAAACCCCTCGATTGCTTTTCATCTTCCCTCTGATCCGCTCGGAAAAAAAAGAGGCCTTTTTTTCAGCCCGCCGAAAAACCGAAATGCGCCCGCCGCCGCCGCCGCCGACGAGCTCGAATCGTGGCGTGGGAGCGGCGCGTTTTTCGCGTTGGTCGTCGTGGCCCGAAATAGCAGCGCGACGCGGCGGATACTTGGCCGACGGGCAGAAAATAAATCGGCGGAAGCGCAGCGCGCGCGAGCGCCGGTAAACATCCGGCGGAAGGAAAAAACGAAACGGTGAGATGGATTTGCTCGAGAAAGAGAGAGAGAGAGAGAGGCGCTATTCGATCTCGCCATCGATTCGATTCGCCAACGAGTGAAACTAGGTGAAAGTAAAGGAGAGGCGCGATTCTTCTTCTTCTTGTACGTGTATCCCTGGGCAGGGATTTGGAGAGAAGGGCGAATCCGAGGAGGTTTCGCGAAAACGGGCACGAGGAGAATCGAGACTTCCTTCTCGATCCCTTTTCCCCGGCTCGCCTTCCTCGTTTCATTTTCTTACGACCTCCGATTAACATAAATTAGTCTGGAGGCCTTTTTATCTCTTCGTGCCACTTTCTCGTTACCACTCGAATCGGTGTGGAATCGAGACAGTCCTCGAACGTGTCCTTACGATTTCCATTCAAGAAACCTTGTCCTTTTTTTCCTCTCTTTCCTCTCTCTCTCTCTCCTCTCCCTTCCTCCCCCCTCCTCCCCGTTCGTCCGCGTTCCATTTCTCTTTGACTCGATCGCGGTTATATTAACGGAATCGCGATTATCCGTGATCTCGATTGATTTTTCAACCACGCGTTACTTTTTCCCCCTTTTTTCAGCATTACGTAAAATAAATCTCTAAATTTAAATCCGTATATACGATTGCTTTTAACGGTGTCTTATAACTTTGTATTTAGCAAGAGAGTTCGTTTCAAGAGTTCGAAACGAAAACACCTGTTATCGTTCCAAACTTTGAAATCGTTAGAAAAATGATTATGAAATGTATCGTGAATACGAAATATATTCGTGAAATCGTTCGTCCAAAAATTATTCGAGTCAAATCGAAGAGGAGAGTTTCGCGAAAATTCGAGACAACTCATCCCAACTTTTGGATAAGAAGATAAAGAAAAAAAAAAAAAAAGAATGTCATCGACGGAGAAGTTTCTTTTTGCTTTTGCAACGATGAACGTGTTTCGATGGGGAATATTAGCCGAGGGAAGGTGGGACAGGCACGAAGAAACGAGCCGACACAGTCGTGCCACTTTCGAACCGGCGAATTCCACGGAAACGAGCGATGGTCCGAGGATGATTCGAGACGATTAACGAGGCGTACAAGCAGACGGGTTAAACGATCAACCGGTTAAAAATAGAAGCGGATCCGTGACATGTGTTTTTATATTAAATCGGTATACACGCAAGGAATCGTTTCCTCGTCGCATCTTTCATAAATAACGATCCTCGATCCTTCGAGGTTTTCGAAGTTTGGCCCGGAAATTGAGAAAGTGTCCATCCATCACGGATCGTGGCGCCACCGTGACGGCGATGAATCTCGATTTTCCTGTTTCCCCGTCGCTTTGAAATAATCGACTACTAAAAATATTTCATTCATAATCGAAGAATTTATAATGTAGCTTATTTGTAATTATAATTTGATTTTTATCCGCTTTAAAAAGGGGAATAAAAATGTGCAGAAATTATCTCTATTAATTTTTATCTCTTTTTAAAGAGGGATAAAATCTGTAATTTAATGTAATTATTTATCAGTGGAAGAATCATATTTATCTGATGAGAACTCGTGGAATTAAAAAAGATTACTTTTTTTGTGCGCGGCGAGTTATCTACGTATCTATATATTTGAATGTTTCCATTGCAAAAATAAATTACGAAACGAGCCGCTTTGTCCGTTTTGATATCCGATATCGTTCGAGTTCCGGCACAGAATATATTTCTGACAGAGATTTGTCCACGATTGCGCAAATCCTCGCCTAATCCTGTTGCGGATACTTCGATCAACTCGAATCGAAAGGGAGGAGGGGGAAAAACCGAAAGAAATACACGAATATCGGTATCATCCGATACAACTCTGCATAATATCGCGAACAGATACTCGCGTTGTCAACAATGTCGTTAATGCAGTTAGATTCGTGTCATCGAGATAAGTTAGATTCGTTCGTGGTGAATAAAGGAGCGCGACGAAAATAGAAAGAGTTAATCAAGAGTTTCATGAAACATGCATTTCGTGAAACGTAGTTTTAACCCTAAACGGACAACAATAGATATCTTGACATTCACCCATCGGAATATGTATGAACCTAATACTATTTTTAGATCAACGTGACGTAGTTTGCATTAAATTATACTGGAATTAAAACTTACGCGGCACATCTACTCATTTTCACGTACACGTTCTTTGGAAACGTGTTGCGTTGCTATTTTACTATCAGACAAAAAAAAAAAAAAAAGAAGAAGAAAAGTTTCGACCTTTGTCTTCTGCAATACGAGTACCACGTCTTCGTAATTGAATCTTTCATCTTCCAAACGGTTAACCCTTTGCACTTTGTATACGGCGACATACGAGTGCAAAGGGTTATTCTTATCGAAGTCTCGGCCACTCGTCGAGATTAAAGGTATATCCACATCTAGCTATATAGACGATTTAAGGAGAGTCGTCGAAAACCGTGAACGAGGCTATGATGAATTCGAAGATTAGAAGATCCTTCTGGTCCTCTGGAAATCGAACGCGTCCACGCTGATCGCGCGTATAACCGGTTCGATTCGGCTCGTGATCGATGCGTTTCTAGATCCTGTTCGAGGCTCGGACCTAGGTTAATCTACGATTTAAGATATCTCGGCCTCGTGATAAAAACGTTCGACCCAAGATAGCTCGATCACGGTTCAAGGCTTGACCCAACGAGCATTCTCAAGTCGCTCGGCCGACTTACGAAGGGCTGGTTCGTTCGAAACCCGAGAGTATAATATTCCTAACAGGCAGGCAAATTTAATACGATTTAATAATTGGACGGATCGATCTCGCTTCACCGTTCCTATCTCATTACATAAGTTTAATCTTTAATCTTCTTTATTTAATTTCCTATGAACCAACTCTTACTTTTGAATTAAACAACAGATTCGCACGAATTCCATTTCATCTCCGCTCATCCCTAAAAGCTTTCCTCCAAATATTTACAATTTTTTCTTTCCAGATTGAACAAGAAACAAGACGAGTCCTTCCTGCGAATTCAAGGATTCCTCAAATTACCACTTCGATTCGATTTAACTGGCGTCCAACGACGTCGTCCAATTTCCTTTCCACTTCTGATTCTTTTTTTTAAACGAATCCGCCCGAGAGAACGAGAAACGGAAGAGAAATGGCGGAAGGTCGAAGAGGGTGGCGGCAGGATGCTAATTTTTCAACCGGCCGATCGAAGAAGCCCCGAAGCGCAGGTATCGCGTGTTCCCTTCACGGACGAAAGCCTCGCACACACACGTCCGCGCGGAAGCAGCCCGTAATTATATTGTCACGCCGCGGGTGTTCAATTTGTCGACCAACATCCGCCTCCCCCGCGTCCTCGTCGACCACCTCCACCTCCTCGACAACTTGGAAACTCGCTCGCTTCCCTCCCTCACGCCGTTCTCACGCCTTTCGGCCCAGCCTTGCGAATCGTGGCGCTGATCATCGGGGGAGGAAAAAATCGACACGAGGATGCGATTCCTCGAGACGAACGCGAGACGTTATTCTCGTTCGACGGTTATTTCGGTATCCCAGGGAATATTTTCATTCAGAAATGTAGGGGGATCGGTAATTCTAAAGACGAATGACGCTATTCTCGACACGGTTATTTTTGAAGAAATCTTTTTATAGAGTATATAGGGGAGGATTGATATTCGACGTTCATATTGAGTGAAATGAATTTTTGGATCTCGAGTCTTCCTTCTGTATCCAGGGATATACGCTCTGATAAATAGATTCGGAAAACATCGATATTGAAATTGGCTTGGATCGGTCAAATTTCATTATTATTTTTTTTTTTTACCACGAAAATTCTAAATATATATCGTGAATTGGTTACTAATTTGTTTATCAAAGTTGAGAAAAAAAGGTATTAGGTTAATTTCGCGTTTAAATATTCATTAAATATTCGTAAAAGCAGCCGAGCTGTTATCTGCGAGATCTATCCCAACAGCTATCGGATATCGGGCTAATAAATCATTGAATCCAGTTTCGTGAATACAGGCGGGGTAAGCAGGTGTCTCGAACAGTGTTAAAACTACTTACGTAACTAATCATGGGTATGTTGCGGGATTGAGCGACTATGGCTTCAACGTAGCACGAGCCTTCCGGTCCAAAGAAAGCTGCAACCCCCTCGCAGATCATATCGATCATTGCCTTGGTGGCTTCCACCGTTTCTCCCCTCGTGTCGCTCCATCGCATCACCAGCTTCACGTTCGGCAATATATTCGGGTCGCTGTTGATCTGAAACGGTCGAATTAATTAAAATTAAAAAACTTGTAAAAAGTTCCGTCTTATCATTTAAAAGAATTCACTCGGTCAAATTTTCATCTCGTTTCCCAATTTCCATCCCCATCCAGACAGAGACGCGCAAATTTATTTTATAAACCGTGCATTACGCAACTGTGACTCACATTATGAAACCTATATTTCGTCATACGATATTAAATTACAATAATTGAACGGTGCCACGAGACGCGGTTCTCGTTGAATCGTGAGTTAGCATACTTTATATCCGGCTTAATTGTTTCCAATAATGGCTCGATCGATTTAACGGGCCAATCCAATGGGTTACCATAATTCTCCTAATAATCGTGAATATTCGCTCCCGTAATATGAATGGCCGCGATACATATCGAATCAACACAGATATGATGATCGTTCGACGATGATATTTCACACATCTCGACACATCTCGCGCGTGTACACGTGTGCACCTAGTACAGAAGAGAGAGAAGGAGGAAAAGAGCTAGGCAATAAGTCATAATAATGGGTCGCGACGTTCCTTTTTCCAACTCGGCGTATATGAGTGCGCAAGGAGTGCACGAAATCGATTTTCCACGGTTTCTGTTCCATTCGAATAAATTTCTACCTCCTCTCCCCTCAGGAACGTCGATTAAAGTTCAATTCGTTAATGTTATCCCGATTCCTCTTCTCCTTGTATTCCTTCTCTGCGGCGTATGAATTCGAACGAGCAATACTTTTCCAACCAAGTCGTTGGAATCCTGATCGAGCTAACGCAGCAGAGAACGATCGAATTATTACTTTTTAGTGGAAATCGAGTGGAATTCTCTATGTTTGGTTTGGATTTTTGCGCCACCAAATAACTTTGATTCAAGATCGTTTCTTAAAAGTGGGATACTTCGAACGTGAGAGAGAGAGAGAGAGAGAGAGAGAGAGAAATATACCGATTAATCTGAAATTCTGAGAAAGCTTGATTATATCGCGCGAGGTATGGATTTAATATATATAAGCCGGTTCGAGTATAAAAACGTTACTCTTTTATGAATTTTATATACAGATATTCACGAGCTCGCGCGTTTCTCGATTCTTATTTCACCGTGTTTTAAGCGTAGCGTAAAATTAGCGTATCTCGCGGTTCATAAATTATTAATAGAATGATTGAAAACGTAATTTATGAAGACTACATAAATTCATTTAAATTCAATTACTATTACACGGTATAAATTTGCACAGACTCGCATTACTTAAATTAAATGTTTATTATATTGATCACTCTTTCTAGCCTCTAAATTTAAACTTTGAAGAATCTAAAAAAAAAAAAAAGAAAAGAAAAAAAAAAAGATTCTGAGATATTTACCCAAGTCTCTAATTCAACGTGCAAACAATCGTCAAATGGAATGTTTAAAATTTTTTTAAAGATAAAAACCCGTTTCCGAGAAAAACAAAGGAACTTCCTCTCTCAATCGCGAGAAAGACCAACAAGCAAGATCAAAAATATCGATCCTCGTAACTTTTCCACGTTTCGATTGTTACAAACACGGTAATTAAGTTTATTCCTGTTCCGTCGATTCTAATTTTAATCATGACCGAGGAAGAACCGACTTCCGTCGAGCGGACGAATAATTACTCGTTTCCACACCATTCCAGATCGGGACGTGACTCGTGCGGAGGAGAGTAGCACAAGTCGATGGCTCAATTATGGCGGGTATTGTTCTCGGAATGAGCAACAAACGATCAATTATAGGTGTACTCTCGTTACGTAAAACGACGTTGTACGCGATGAGATCGGAAATAATCGTCGAATTACGAGTTCTCGGGCCGGCGAAATTTTTTTCGTTAGGCTTCACTTGGAAGGAACCGTTAAAGCGGTTTCGAGGCGGCGCTATAAAAAATCATTGCTCTTCCCGTTGGATGGTTCGCATTCCTCGCTTTGCACCTGCCTTCGAACGACCGCCGAATTCGTACGATGGAATGCGTACAATAATGCTCGTCCACCTCTCTTCTCCTTCTTCTTTTCCTTCCACGGCTTTTTTAACGTCCGCGGGTGAAAGTTGAAGTCGCTCGCCCCTTCGACGATCAACGCGTCTCTTTTAACTTTAAGGAAAGAGAAAAAAATGTAAATGTGTTACGCGAGGAGGAGACATTTTTATCGCTCACCATCGAACAATGACGAAAATGAAACGAATTATTTCTACGGAAGAGAGAATTTTGGTGGAAGGCTCGAACGAAGAGTAGAATGGTCCAAGTTATGATTCGAATACTTGGAATCGCTTGTATTTTCGTCCCGAAGAAAATATTTAATAATAAGAAAAAGAGAAAAACAACTCGTATTGCACAATCTATCTCACGAATTAAAAAGTTATCTTACGATGTTACGCAGGTTATATATACGTTTACGTGTATTAAATATCGTAAGTATATACGGTGTTTCATTCGTATAATTAAATTTCGAAACGGTATAAAACCTTCGATATTATACGATGTTATTCCGATGTTATTTCTCAAGATTCGAAAAGAAGAAGAAGAAGAAGAAGAAGAAGAAGAAGAAAATATCGGACAACAACTGTTCCAATTCCGTTGAGAAACATAAGCGAGAGATCCCTCAGAGAGAGAGTTGTCTGACACGAGCGTGAAACAATGTCCACAGACACCGTCCACTTACGATGTTGCCACTGGCAGGGTTTCGCCAATCAGCTTATTTTCGAGTAATTGAAGGGCGTCCGGTCGCTGGAAGGCTGTGCACGACCGAATGCCACAACAATCTTCAGGGTCGATGAGAACACGCGTTCGATTCGTTCATCCACGAGGAAAAACGAGAGCGAGGGGGGAGGGAGGGGAGGGGGGGGGGGGGAAGAAGAAAAATAAGAAAATCGAGATCCCGCCTAACGACGACGATATTACGCCCAGTTGCAAATGTTGCCTGCCCCCGTATAATTCGAATATAACTCGTAAAAGTCGGCGAATTCGGCCAAACGAGGCCTCCTCGTTCTCGTCGTAAAAAAAAAAAAAAAGAAAAAAAAAGAAAAAAATATCCTCGCGCGCTTTTACGAAATCTCAATTCAAAATAAGCTTTAAACCACCGTTGGATCGGTGAAATCGTATCCGATGATTCATGATTGCGATGTGCAACAGCTGTCACGAGCGATCGCCTTAATCGCTCTTAAAAGCCTCGTGAATAATGATCGAGCACTAAGCAAATTTCGTATCCCGTTCCCTATTTGTACAGATATTGAAACTAGTTTATCGCATCGTGGGAGTGCGTCACACCGAATTCTACAACTTCTTTTTTTGTTTTTAGCAGACGATCGGGTAAAATGCACGAGCAGAGTCAAAGAGTTTGAGCGAAGTACGATTTTTCGATTCTTCGAGAGACGAAAACGTTAATGAAAAACGTTGGTTTATTAATCGATGGCCTCGATTCGAATCGCTTGCTTCGAATAGACAAAGCTAATGGAGTTTCGCCGCTGTTAAGTATAATAATTAATTCATCAAGGTTAAGGGAAGATGATGGTGACGATGGAAGTTTTATGCGAGAGACGATTAGGTGGTATTGACCTTTGCTCAGCCAGTGTCAAGGCTGGGTCATTTTGACCCGTATCAGGTTCTCTCTGCCACCGAGAAGTTAATCGTTAATTCCACGGAAAGTGAAGTTAATCAATTTGAACGGAGAGGCTTTCGACAAAATTTATGTTCATCGTTGCCGTTTAATTTAATTCCAACCATTTATAGTTACAAGTTGGAAGACACTGTAGATTACAAGCAGATAGATCTTAACCAACGAAACAACAAACCGATAATAAAATTCGAAATGATAAATCGCGAAATTCATTCATCATCCCCCGAAAGTCTTGAAACGAACTCTCTCATTACGAATTATTACGAGTCCAACGTAATTCTCCAATATTCTTTGGCAAGTTTTACCACACGATCGAAACGATATTAGAAACGAGCGTAATTACTTTGCATACCGACTATGCAAACGCCCAAACGAAGAAAAACTTTCACCGTGCCTCGGCTAAAAATAGATTTATTTCCTCGTTGCAAAGCGGTCTCGCTTGAAGCTACGAGAAGTAAAAATGTCCGACGAGGAGCGCACGAAAATAACCTAAAAATCCTCGCTCATCACCGTGGCTTTCTTTCTCTCTTTCTTTCTTTCTTTTTTTTTTCTCTCTCTCTTTGATATAAAAATACGAATCTACTACGCAGCATCGACTTTCGGCAACCTTTGGTCCCAAAGTTGCAACGAGCAAGGCCGACCATTTGCGATCGCCGTGCTTTTACTCCAGCGAGGCCCAAGTTAACGCACATAAAATCGCGAATCTCCTAGTTTCGTTCAATTTCAGGTATTGCCCCGATACTTTCTTTCTCATACGTCGAAAATGCCGGCAACTTGAACATACACGATCGAAAGTCGAACAAGGCCGTTTTGTCCATTATTGCTTGACAAATATAAAAATGGAGAAAATGAATTAATCAATCGAGAACATCCCCTGGAAAATCCTCTTTCGACGAGGAAAAAAAAGAAAAATCCACGACGTTATCCGTAGGGACAGGAAATCCTCCCAGTGACGCATACGTAGAGAAAAAGTGGCGATGGGAGAAAGAGAGAAGAGAAACGAATGCCGATCGGTGCGGTGAGATACCAGAAATATAGGCGAATAATTATCGGCAAGCCGCAATCCATCTTTGACGTAACTTGTTATTTCCAAGTAGAACCGGATACGCTGCTGGGTCCCCCGCGATACCATCGGCCGCCGGTCGGTTATTTCGACGATTCCCACAGGTTTCTCGGGGGCCCTTTCCTTACGCGCTCACCACGGTTGCAGGTTGCGAAAGAGCGCGTGTATACGCCGCGGCTGGTTTCGTGGTATAAAAAGGGAGAAGGAACGCGAACACGTTCGAGCGATGAGGAGCAGCGAGGAGCGATGAGGGGCGAAGAGCGAAAGATGAGAAGAGAGATGAGGAAGAGAGAGAGAGAGAGAGAGAGGAGGAGGAGGAATAAAAGAAAAAGGAAGGAA